AATAAGCATATTCCTTAGGAGATAAGGATTACAACAATAAAGGGGATGATTATCCTAATCCTATAATGATTAGGATAACTACAACATATGGATAAATACAAGGGAGGATAGTGACTGATGCTTGGCCGCCTGGTATGGTACAGATGTGGTCTGGTCCATTTCCGGATATGTCCCAACCACCATCTTCATTTCTTAACACATCATGAATATATCAGAATTTTAAATATTTTATGTTTTGTTTTCCAAACTTAACACTAAAATCAATCCTAGGAGTACAACAAGTTATATTTAATATAGTTTTTAATATAAATATAAAGATTGTTATAACTGATCTAAAGCTATTTACTAAACTGTTTTTTGAACTTTATATTTACTAAACTTTCAGAAGCCCTCATAAGCTAAAAATGTGTGGAGTGTTGTATTCAAAATAACTTTCATTATTACATGCATTTTGAAAAGTTGTTAGTTTTGACTTGTTTTTAATCTCAAGTTGATGTTGTCCAAAGGAAAAAAAAAAAAAAAATCTTAAGGTTATATTGGTTTTTAGATTTATTCTTACAATGCTTAGTTCTATATGATTTATTCGTTTAGTTAAATTCAAAAGATTGAATATTTTGTCGTCAGGAATTGATATGCACATTGCAAAATAGGGGAATTTAATACAAATTATGCCGAAGGCTATACTAATAGAAAACTACAAACTACTAGAATACAAAACTCCCATCTCTATACATATTTCTCAATAAAACATAATTAAGTTATATATTAAGGATATGTGGATGTAGTGGACCAAAATTATATATACGAATATCCAATTACGTAATATATGGCTGTAAAGTAAATATTTATTAAGTAATAAAACAAGAAATAAGTGGAAAGTCTGTTCCAGTATTCAGTTACTAAAACAAGAAATTTGCTCTGCTTTTTTGCGTGTCTGTGAAGTCTCACTCTTATTCCTGTTTCAGTGTATTATTACCAAAACAATTAGTTTGATGACACATGTGAATCTGTCTCAACTAACCACATGTAAAAAAGTATATCGAAATTAATGTTGTAAACGAAACCACTAAGAATTTTTTGGGAGCTACCTTTGGCTATCTTAATAGAAAAAGTCTTACATTACATAGCTCTCTCCTCTCTTTCTCCCATACTTTGCCCATAATCAGAGAGAGAAATAGAGAAAGTGGAGTAAGATTCTGAGAGTGAGAGGTTGAAGAAGGAAGGGTTTCTAAAAAAAAAGAGAAAGAGAGATGGTGAGAAACAGTGGTTATGGTCAGATTATGGAAGAAGGTGACAGTCCTGGATTTTTCAAGATTCTTAGAAAAGAAGACTTATCATCTGAACTCATAGTAATTTTCTCATACTTCATCTCCGAGTTTAATTTCTTGCTAGTTTTTGTTTGAAACCTCAAATCTTTTAGGGTTTTTTTAATGTTCAAATGGGTCTCTAAAATCAACTATTTGTGGCCTCATTAACTTAGATCTGTTTCTTGGTGAGGTCTTGCTATGGTCTTTTTAGGGTTTATCAGGCTCTGTTAGTTTCTTGATGACCCTCTTTTGATATCTCTTGATTTTGTTGTGTCTTTTTAAGAGAATGATTCCTCATGACTTCGTAAAAAGCATATCGGATGCATCCTTTAAGATGGCCTTAAAAGTGCCATGGGGAAGCGCATGGACAGTCAAAATCTGCAAGAACCCAAGTTTTTACTACATGGAAGATGATGGATGGAACCAGTTTGTGAACGACAACGCTTTGGGTGAAAATGAGTATCTTACCTTCACTCACGAGGCTAATATGCGCTTTAACGTTAACATCTATGAACCAGATGGTAAGGAGATGCTTAGACCAAGAGAGTCTGCAACATTTCCTTCTAGTTCCGGTAAGTGTTCATATCTATGAGATTTGCTTTTTACTGCTTATAAACTTTGTTGTTGGTTTTGGATGAACATTAGGTATGAACAAGAGAGAACAAAGGGAAGGAGTATACAAACATGTGAAGGAGGAGATAGTGTCTTCCTCTGAGTCTAGCCATCAGTATCTCAGAAAAGCTCAAGGGAAGAAACAGGTGGTTAACTTGGGAAAGAAGAAAGCTGAAGAATCCAAAAAACCCAAGAAGAGTATGAAGAAGAAGAAGAAGAAAGTGGATAGTGATTCAGAACTTGTTCCAGAGTTCAGTATCACCATAAGGAAATCACACCTCGCGTTCTTGGTAAGATAGGCAAAATAGTTTCAGAAGTGATTGTATGTGAAGTAATCCAATGAAAGAAATTTTGTGATTTCAGGGAGTCCCAAAGGCGTTTGTGGAAATGCATATGCCAAAGAAGACAAAGTGGTTCAAGATTCGTCCGGAAGGGAAAGAATCATGGGAGGTTTTGTTTTTGGTCACTGCCGTTCAGTCAAGATTCTCTGCTGGATGGTGTCGTTTGGCCAGAGAGTTAAGTTTAGTGGTTGGAGACGTCTGCATATTCAAGCTCATTAAACCTACCGAGATGGTTGTCAAAGTGTCAAGGCATGATGATGAAGATGATATTGAGGAAGACGATGATGAGGAGGAGGAGGAGGAAGATGATGATGATGAAGATGCTGATGATGATGAGGATGATGATGATGGTGGTGCTAGTGATGATGAAAGTGAGGATTAGTTGAAGAACTAGTGAGAGAACTTGTGTTTGGAGCGACATGATGGTGTTGTGGTTTAATGTTAGGACTAGTTTTAAAACTGTTTTCTTTCAAGGTACTCTGTTTAGACTCTGATTTGGTATCTTACCTCAATTTGAGTAAACATCACAACCTCTCTCTCTATGGTCTCTTCTAGTTCTTGATTGACAAAGAAAACTAGTTTACAAACCTATTCTTGTGTCGTCCCCTTAATACAATATTGAAAAATGTATATATACCATTAATCACTGAGATTTATGAGCTAAGTTAGATGAGTGGATCCATGAATCAAGCGTCTTGATAGCTTTCCCTGACGATTGTACTTCACGTGCCAAAGTTACTCCTTCCCCTAGCGTTTGGACTCTACTGCTAACCAGAAGAGCCGCTGCTGCGTTTAGGATCTGAAACAAGATTTTTGAAAAGAAGAGAAGTTCACAAGAATGTGAAAGTTTTCCGAGAGAAAGGGACTCATCTCGTCTAGGCCATATGAATGAACAACCAAAGCTCTTTTCATACCAAATAGCTGTAATGCCTTTGCCATCTTAAGAACCTATAAAACACAATAGAATATCAATAATTAAGCATGTGTCTTTCTTATTGTTGATGAAGATCTGATTCAGGGGTAAGAATGTGTACCAGGTTTTTGTGGTAAACACCAACGACGGCATAAGACACTTTCGCAGGATTAAGCATAGGTCCCAATATGTTGAAAAGTGTTTTTATTTTAAGCTTTTTTCTGACAGGACCAACGATCTTCATAGCTGGATGATAGAATGGTGCCATCATAAAACCAATCCCTGCTTCTTCAACACATCTCTTGATCCCAAGTCCATCACCACTCCTAGTGCCTCTAGTACATCAGCACTTCCACAAGCAGAGGAACTCGAACGGCTCCCTTGCTGCAAAATAAAACAGATACATTCCTTTACAGTAACTGGCGGAGAAGTTATCTTTTTGGACCAAAGGCCCTCGTTCCTTTCTCTCTCTCACGAAACGCAAGCGGACTCGTCCTCTTTGCTCGGATTTCTCTCGCGGACGGCGAGGGCGAGGATATTGGAGCAAGAGACGGTGTTGGGACAGGCGAGCTAGAGAGCGGTTTTGGGCGGATCACAACGTTGAATCCGTCTCCGGGGAGGGAGAGGTTGATGGGGGAATCACGTGCGGCGGCGGCGGCGGTTGTTGGGGTGGTGATCTGTTTGTTGGTGATGGTGTAGAGTGATAGAGACCTTAGCTTAAGTAGAGTGAGAGGCGGTGAGACTTAATGGAAGAAGAAGTAGGAGAGTGAGACGTTGACAAATTTCATTGATAAAGGCAAAGTTCTTTGATCATATTGTTATGTAAAGTTGGTTGCTTTGGATATGTTTGATAAAGAGCATTTGCTACTGTGAATGAAAGTTGTAGACTTTTAGTTGTGAGGGTAATGTGGAGACGAAGATTTTCACTCGAGAATGCGTTTCTTTGTTGTACTACTGGTCTGAATAGTTTATGTGTGTTGATTCTGTTTGAATCTTGGGATCCACACATGTACTCGATTTAAACCATTGTTCCTGAATATTCTTAAGTCTTTGTTTCTTGCCGGACAGCCAATGGTGCATCACCCTGTTTCACCTTGTATAAAGGTATGTTTCTTTACAACTTTAGATGAATGGACAATGATGATGATGATACCAATCCTTTGTTGTCTGCAGATTCCAAACTTAGCTCACATCTATCTTGTTGGTTTCTATGAGGAAAGGGAGTTTGCACTTTATGTCTCTGTCATCTCCAATGAACTCAAAGTTCCTGTCAGATTTTGATAAAATCTCTCCTCTTTTTTGCATCTCAAATATATCAGTGTGACTCATTTATGTAGAGTTGTGATCTTTCTTCTCTGTTTTGTTTTGGTATAAGATATCTACAAGAAGACAAGTCACATGGTTCATCAATGCACTTCGCTCAATAGCCATTTGACTGGATATCTTGACTTGATATAAAATCACTTGGTATTGGTATCCCTTATATATTAATCCTGGAGCATTCATAAATGCACAACCTTGGCATGCTTACGTGTCAAGCTTACAGAGCTTCTCAGCCTTAATATTTTAATGGACTAACTTTGCTAGGAATGAAATAATGTAACATTTAATTTCTTTCATTTAGAACTATAATATATATACATTTTAAGAGACCAACTCTGCTAGGTATAAAACAATATATTTTCTTTCCTTAAATAAAAGCTACGGAATTACCTAATATGATTAATATATATATATATGTAATTAATGATTATGAATAATGCATATTTTTGTGTCCTCTCTCTTTTTTGTTTAATTTTAAATTATTAAAATAAATTAAACAATCACATTAAATATATAATAAAAAATTAATTTTTTTTCTTATAGGTTATATTTTTAATTTTTTAAAACGACCATAAATAACTAAAAATAGTAAAATCCCACATTGAAAATTTTATGATCAATGGTTTAACTTTGTTTTTTTCCCACAAGATATAAATTATCATAAATCGTACGAATATGAAGTATCATTAGTAGATATTCATATTATAAATATGTTAATTTAAAAATTTCAGTGAAAAGGTTTGAGATTAGTAGATACAAATTATAGTATTCGAAAGAGTTTTGTAGTTTGTTTTATTTGCTTTTTTTTTAACTATCTTTTAGTTTGTTTAGATAATTTAACTAATTTTAAATTAGATTTATTAATAGTTTAAATATTTTGAATTTTTTTGTCAACTTTTAATGTTTAAAAAATATTTTTTAGGATGATTTCAGATATTGGTTACAATCCAATCTAAATTGAATTGAGAAGACCAAATCGAATCCAATCCGATAATTAGTAAAATTTAAATAGGATTTATGATAATAATACCAAAATCTGAAAATACGTCTCAATCAAACCAAAACCGACGAAGTCTCAAACGTCCAGACCTGTGATGATTTAAGATACCAACATTTGTATTCACCATTTTATAATCGATAAATACTGTAGTATTGCAAAATGTTAAAAACCATTTAATGAATTAAGTATTGGTATAAATAGGAGACTCCCACTGGAGCACGAAAATGTCCGGGTTGCTTAGTATGATTTCTTAATTCATTTTTACCACTTATAAGTATTAAAAAAAAAATAAGCACCCCTAGATGAGTCTTTGGGTTAATGGTGCTCTTAATACTCATCTTTCATAAACGTTCAACTTTGTTTGGCCTTCTTTTATAGCGAGACCATTTATATATATTCCTTTTCATTACGAATTTGTATAATTATTTCCTTGAGATATTTACTTTGGATACACTTAAGAGTTACAAATGTTAAAGGGTGGAAGAAGCAAAATGTTGACTGTCATCTTCTAATTAGTGTACTTGGGGATAACCAATTTGTGGCAAAGAAAAAAGTCTTCTTTAACGATATTATTGATCATCACATAGTCAGAGACTCAGAATTACCAAAGGAAAAAGATGTTGAGAGGAATTTTCAAGACTTCCAGAGAATCAAGAACAGATTGCAACTCTCTTCACCCTCTCATCACTGCTTCTTCTCCTTCCTCTTCATCATCATCAACACGTCAATACAGCTACGACGTCTTCCCAAGTTTCTGTGGTCAAGATGTCCGGAGAAGCTTTCTCAGCCACTTTCTCGAAGGGTTGAAAAGCAATGGAGTAAACACGTTCATGGACAACGGGATCATGAAGAGCGGATCAATAAACTCCGAGCTCGTGAGAGCTATCAGAGAATCAAGGGTTGCCGTTGTGATCCTCTCCAAGAACTATGCTTCCTCGAGTTGGTGTCTACACGAGTTGCAGCTGATCATGGATTGTAGGGCTTCTTTAGGACAAACTGTGATGACAATCTTCTACGATGTGGAAGCATATAATGTGAGAAAACAGACAGGAGATTTTGGAAAGGCCTTTGTGAAGGTTGTAGACAATGGTTTATCCGGTTGAGGTACTCTTGGTTAAGTCTAATTAGATTAGGATTGTAATCGGTTTAGCTTATACTTAGATTGTACCGGATCACTCTCTCTCTCTCTCGGTTATGTCAATGTGTGGTTTGTGCATATTGATTAGGTAAACCGGCTTGGTTATCAAGTATTACGGTTAGTATAAGTATGATACATTGATCTGGTTTAGGAGGTAGTTAGAACCAGTATTCAACATTGTATCCGTTAGAGAAGAGAAGAGAGTGAGATCGGAGAAGGTGTAATCAACGGAGGCTCGGATTGTGAGTTCTCGTTGCGTTATAGTGAGTTGCCGGTTCAATCCCGGCTCCGGTGAGATATAGCGGCCACATCGAGTTAACGGTGTGGTGCGGTGAACACCGGGTCAACATCTCGTGGTGTCGTCTTGATATTCGAAGCAAGAAGAAGTTGTTCGAAGGATATAATCTTCACAAATTGGTATCAGAGCCAGGTCGAAGAAATCGGAATCGAAGACTTTCGAGAATCAAGATCAGCGGTTATCTTTCCGATAAACTCGATATCTGAAATCGAGGGAGAGATCGGAGAAAAGGATCTACAGCAATGGCGACTCGCAAGATGAAGATGGAGATCAAGATTACGATGTTCGATGGCACGGGAGACTTTGCGATCTGGAAGAAACGGATGTTAGCTAACCTCAGCGTTCAAGGTTTGAAGGATGTGCTCATACCTCAGTCACAAGCTTTAGTGACGGCAAAGACAGGGGAAGACGATGATGATGAGGAGATAAAGAAGAAGAAGGACCTTGAAGAAACCGCAAGATCGGAGCGCGATGAGAAGGCTTTAAACATCATCTTTATGAGCGTTGGAGATCATGTGCTCCGGAAGCTTGACAAGTGTAACACAGCTCTAGAAGCTTGGGAGCTTCTTGATAAACTCTACATGGCGAAGACCTTGCCAAACAGAGTCCACGCTCAGCTCAAAGTGTACTCATTCAAGATGCAGGACTCCAAGACTATTGATCAGAATGTTGACGACTTTCTCAAGTTAGTCACGGATCTAAGCAACCTCAACATTGAAATCCCTGAGGAAGTGCAAGCGATTCTACTACTCAACGCATTGCCAAACAGGTATGACTCTCTTAAAGAAACTCTAAAGTACAGTAGAGAGGCTATTAGTGTGGATGATATATCTAGTGCAGCTAAGTCTAAAGAACTGGAGTATAAGGAATCATCCACTGCTAAGTTGAATGGGGAAGGAAATTATGTTAGGGGTAGATCGGATAGTAGAAGTAGGAATGTGTCTGGGAATGATTTTTCAGGTAAAAACAGAAACAGATCAAGGTCTAAAAGCAGAGATGGAAAGAGAACGTGCTGGATCTGTGGAAAAGAAGGACACTTTAAGAAACAATGCTACAAATGGTTAGAAAGGAATAAAGAGCACAGGTCAGGTCAAGACAGAGGTGAAGCTTCATTAGCCAAAGATGATGCCAGAGACCTTGTGGGTCTCCTAGTTGCAGAGGTGAACTCAGCTGAAACTGATCGAGACGAATGGATCATGGACACTGGATGTTCGTTTCACATGACTCCAAGACGGGATGCTTTCATAGAGCTAGAAGGCATTAACAGTGGTAGAGTCAGAATGGCAAACGGCTCAGTCTCAGAGGTTAAGGGAATCGGCTCTATCAGGTTTCAGAATGCTGATGGTACTACGTTCTTGCTACATGATGTAAGGTATATGCCAGATATTTCAAGAAACCTTATCTCATTGGGGACTCTTGAAGAGAAAGGGTGTGAGTTCAAAGCTGCAAATGGTATCCTTAAAGTCATCAAGGGGTGTACAGTAT